AGCAAACTACTTGAATATTTACGTATTCCGAGTGGATAAACCACCACCACTGCCATCACCGTCTGTAACTCAATCGGGGTCAAGTGAGAAGCGATTTGCTCCGAAGTCTTCTGCCATTGAAGGTTTCACTGTGCCTGGATCATCCACTGCTGGATACCAGTTACGATCTTCCCATTATCAGCGCTCTAAGTGGGTACCTCGTTAATCACCATTGAGATATATATAGATACTCGTCTGACCGTTGCTTATTGAACGATATCTATACTTGTATAGTCTCGTTTTCTCTACTAAATTTCACCCTTTGGACACCGAGTTTACTACCACTACTATTTTTCTTCCACGAATCACAAATACAAACACACACATATATATATAGCGTTTCTTTTACTCTATTTCCCTTTTCGTCCTTCGAAAGCTTTATTGTGTCTCCCTCGACATGGATTTAACCTCTGCTTGTCAACAAAAAATATTTTCGTGTTTTTAAATTGATCGACTTGACTTAACCCTGGAATGTATCGGGGCTTGTGGGGTTACCAATGCTGTCTCGACTCGTAGTTGAGATAGTCCCTACCTTGCGGATTTGTATAGGGAGGAGGGGGGTCAGAGAGTGAGTTATTTGGAAAGTTAGTGGTATGCCTTAAGCCCCTCGGTAGGGGTAATTAACGGTGGCTTTTCTCATGAATGACCGCTCCTCGATCACATTGTTTCCACAGTAGTAAACCGTTTCTTGAACTAACTTTCTTTTTTTGCTGCTCTGATGGCGTGCAACTCAGTGGGCTATAAAACTGACGACGCTGTAATCTACAAACCCGCATAAAAATCTTCTAGAATGACTGCAAAACAGGCAAAAAAGACTCTTCTAGGATTTTAAAATTGTTATTCACTTCCGAACAGCTTATATCTCTCGTTCAGCAGCAAAAAAAAAACATTTTGAAGTAGCTCTAGTAGCTCTAATTGAAGCGGCTATTAAAGGCAGATGAATATCAACACCAGGTGATATGATCTTGATTACTATGAGTTCATTTGGACAGAGTTATCAAAGCAGATGTCGATGACGAGATATGAATGAAGTCTAACGAAGAAGTGTTTTGCATATAAATTTAATTTATTTACCATTAAATATGGGTTGCTTCCTGATCACCTCAGAACTGATTTAGGAACATGGGTAACTCGGCTATTCGACTGATGTGACGCCGGTTTACAATAATCTATAAAAGAAACGTTGACTGAGAAATTGCTTCTTCTATGCAGTTGGAAATTATATATCCAGGCCCAATCAATGACGGAAAACCCTACACGAACTAAGAGCAAAAGTTACAATTAAAGCCATTGCATGCTATTTGTGTTGTTTGAAGGGTTACCAAGATTGTAATGCTATTATAGTTGGTCAGTGGATAATGATGCACAACCTGTCAGATAATAAGACTTTCAAATGGGTTAAAAATGCTCTGTACTGATTTCCAATATCTATCAACAGGCTCGTTAGTTGGTGTTGAAATAACAAAAAATGAGGTATTACATGCAACAATAATCTCAAACTTGAATCTTGTGACGTTGGCAACAAATTTCAACAGGGGCTACCCATCTAGTGTATCCAAAAATATCTTGTAGTGTAACTCATTTGCATCAGTAAATATTACTTCATTGGCATTAATTATATACATCTAACAATGAAAAGAGCATTTATCGAACTAAAATGTGAAAATGCAAGACAACAACTAATAATTTTCACCTAACAATGCATGACTATTAACCATTTGAGAAGTTTTCATTTGTACCTAGTTTTAATAAATTTCACACGAAGCTAAATAGAAAGTTTCTGCTAAACTTTAATTTAAGTCGAACGATTAAGTTAAAATGATTTCAATGGTTATTTGTATTCCCGTGAACGCTAGCATTATAATTTAACTGAAATGACCGTGGAATGAAAATGCAATGTTGTGCATATTATCATTACGTTGCAACTTATACAAGACGTATTTAAAATAAAAGACTTATATTTAATAAGAGTGTAGATATTAAAAGCATATTTTCTCTCTACATTGGTTAAAGGCATTAATGAATTTCTTACTTCAAGGCCAAATAATATTGAATCCGACCTAGTCTAAATTTTCTGGTCGTGTCAACATGACGTCTTACAGGGAATTTAGTGTATTTGATTTACTTAAATTCGCCAATGTGTAAGTAATTGGTTTCGTGTCGTGTTATGCTTAAGTAATGTTAATTTTAATAGGTCTAATGTTAAATAATGGTATATTTTTATGGGTTCAATAATTCGCCCAATCCTTTTAAAATTCTGACAGATTTTTGTCGGTTTATAATTCAAAGATTCAACTTTTTATTTGTTTCCATTTAAGGATAGTTTTTAAATTCTTCTATTGCCACTTTCAGGAACTTCGACCCATTCACAGAGACGGTAACCATTTTTTATTTGCCAATTTTACATTTCTTTCCATAATGTGTTTCTTACAGTTCTTATTAATTTAGTACAGTGCTTCTTACTATATGCAATACATGATCACTTGGCCGGAATACATGAAAATAGCTGAATCTCCTGTACTTACAGCCTTTGATTCGAAAGAGGGATCTGTTTTCGGCGGCCGAATTATGGGCTACATGATCGCAAAATCGGAGGGTGTGGGTAAAACATGGCATGGCCATGTAACTGCACTTTCTGTCGCCCCAGAGTACCGCCGTATGGGCCTTGCAAGTCGCCTCATGTTGGATTTTGAGGACACATCTGAAAGGCGAGCTTAAGAAATTTTACTGTTTTTGTTTTAACTTTACCTGTTTAGGATTTGGTGTTTTGTTGTTTGTTGACTTGGGGTTTCATATGTACCTATTTGCAGGATTTTTTGCTGTTTTTTCGGTAATTTATCAGAATCGGCCACTTTTTGATGTGAGCGGCCAACACTTCCATAGTCAATTTTGGATGCTTCATATTTGAATGATTGAGTAAAATGAAAATGCCCAAATCGGTTTACACTTGATTTTAAGGGGTATTTTGTTTATGCTAAATTAATGACTTAATTGTTCCCGGTATGATAGTGCTATTCGTATGTATTTATTTCAACACCAATTCTTATTGGTTGTAGCTTATTAATTCCAGTTAGTTAGCTAAGTACTATTTAGTTGATCATAAATTTGAGTTTCAGATTATTGATTGTCTGTCGGTTATCTGCCTTCTAGTCTTTTATTATGCCACTGGGATGGAGAGGAGTCAAGTCAGACAGAGTTAGAAGTGAGTAGGTAGATGGCTAATTTAATAAGTCTGTAAAGTCTCGAAGTGATCGGATATTGAAAGAGTTTCAGGGTCATGCATGCTTAACACCTCAGATTTATATCAGAGAAATGGGTTGCAATTTGAAACGTATTGGATGATGCCCTATTTTCCTGCATTTAGGAAAAAGTGTGTGTTTGCAGATCTCTTTGTGCGAGCTTCCAACAAGCTGGGCAATTCCCTGTATACAAAATTGGGCTATGTTATTTATCGGCGAGTACTTAGTTACTACTCTGGAGGAGAAGATGGAGAAGATGCCTTTGGTGAGTCGAATTATTTTATCTCAAAGTAATTGGCCCAACTTTCGTTTTGTTCCATTCTATTCTCATGTACATGATTAAGATTTCTTTACTTTAGTGATTATAACGACTCTAGTAGTCGTTGAATTTACAAAGGGAGATAGCCTTGATTAATCAATCCAAGCAATTGTTTTCCTCATTCATGATACATGTCTCTGGTGACAATAGTATCACTTTTCTGCATGAATGGCATCCTGCTTTATTATTGTGCGAGCTTGTTTGTTCATGTCAATTTTCTAATCGTTTATGCTCCCTTCCTCCCCACCCCCCGATCCTTGCTCCATTGGCGGTTTCGACTCTGGGATTATTACTTGTCGCCTCTTAGTAGATATGGCGTGGGGGGGGGGGGGGGGGGGGCAGGAGGTGACGCAGACATGACCGCCCACTTGGGCATATGATGCACACGTAGCAAGCCAGAGATACTAGGCCTTCTTATAATGTGCAAATTAGCCATATTGGCATTATATATTGCCTGGATCTTTCTTACCTCCATCTCCGCTTATGGTTTAGTTGCTATTGAAATTGGCCAACCGTACTCTTTCCAAGATAAGTACACTGTACTTCACTTTATAAATTACTTTCACCACTTAATTCCTCAGGTATTGCAGAGATTAATGTGAGTGTCTGTTATCTATGTGACCATAGGTTAGTTATCCATTAGTGTGTACATCTTACGAACGGAACAGCTAATTCGAATCGATTTGGCTAGACGAGAGTGATTGAATTCGGGAGCAATTCTCTGTATCTCTTCAGAATTATCGTTTGGGGGGTAAATATTGATCCGTGGAAAAGTGATAAATGCCAAATTCCCCCTTTTATTTTACATTAAACTTTTTTCTTGTCTAAGCAAGTGCCTCCATAAATAACCGTTGCAAAAGACTTTTCAGTTAATTGAGCTGACATTGCTCTCCCCTTCCTTTGTAGACATGCGGAAGGCTCTAACTGCGGACAAGAAACGAGAGTCTGTTGTACCGCTGACTAAACCGATCACAGTCGATGAATTAGAATTTACCTAGGTCTGTATTCTCCCGCGTTATACCCTTACACATTCACCTGCCCCCCACCCCTCGCCCGTGCCCCCACACCGCCCTGCATGCAGGAAATATAAATTGCATTTCGTGATCTTTTTTGCTGGATTTTATTAGTCATTTCCTTATTGAAGAGAATGCTTGCCCCCATCAATGACGGAGTTTAGTAATTAACAGGCAGATGGGAGTACGTTGGTCACTGTTTTAGTGGGAACTGTATCACAATTACTTCCAGTGCTATTTATTCACTGTGGCCAAGAGGGCATGGCTGCGTCGAGTTTTGCATGGAAGTTGGCGATGAGCACTTTCAACACTTGACGTGAACTAGTGAGTGGTCAGTGTGTGGTGATGCATTATACTCTGATTTTATTACTTCTTTTAAATAAATTTATAATATTGAGTTATCTTTCTATATTCCTTGGAGACCTCATTTGTCTGGACCACCCTGTAAATTTACTGATTAAGTAATCGAGGTTAAAGAACTATTTTGTAGGGAACTTGTGATCGGGGTCTAATCGAAGGGAACTAGACATAGCCAATCAGCATGGAGATAACTTCATGTAATTTGATGGTTTCAGTGGGATTCTTCAGTTCCATCATCTTTTCTTCCAACGAGTTAGCTTTAAGTAAGGAATCATCACAGTCCTCGAATTTTCGTGGGTTAGGGTTATTTCGTCCTGAGATTTGGAGATGATTTGTGGATTTGGTGATCGGGATTAAATAGAAGGGATCTGGACATAACCAATCACCATGATGATAAGCTCGTTTACTTTGGAGGTTTCAGTGGGTATTTTCATTTCCGCCATCTCCTTTAACGAGTTAGCTACAAATTAGGAGGCATCGCAGTTCTCTGATTCGCAAAGGTAGATTTATTTCGTCCAATCAGAAACCTGTGAACTACCAAGAATATTACTCCAGAGATTTGTAGTTGACTCGTGGATTGCGCTTAGCTAGTCAATGTTTGCTCTTCGTAATCACCCGTTTGTGAATTTCTACTAGGGTGAGAGGAATGGAAATCAAGTTCGGTAAATTCAATAACAAAATATGCATAATAATTGTGTAAATTGAAATGATATATCTCGAATTTTCTACTTTTATGAAAGTAGTAGTAATCTTGACTTATGATTCGTTACCAACATTATAGGGATAAAATTCTCTTTTTATTACTAAAGGGGAATTGGTAAATGCACATTTACTGTTTGGTTTACTGAATTAAATCGACTTCGATTCTTCTTCGTTTTCAGTATTTTTGTTGGGATTTTGAGGTTCAGATCAAAGTGTTGTTTTGCATTGGTAGAGAAGAAAGCATTCACTTGATATAATGTTTCATAATCATTCGTCAAGGCCCCACTATATGTCTGAGTGACTTATTATCATTCACGTTGTGCGAACATTACTCTCTGAATTGACGACCATAATTAGTCGATTGGCCAATAAACATTGGATCAGGCCTGAATGATTTGGGTTTGTAGGAAATTTGGATTTCTCATGTTAAAAGTCCATTAGCTATTCTACTACTTAAAATCCAAAAATACGAAATGGTTTATCTCCAACTTCTTTTAGACTCTCTCTCCACCTCTCTCCCCTAATGTCTATTTTCTACTTGACAAACCTTTCCCTCTTTAACCTTTTGCATCCAGTCCATTGAACTCGGAGTGTGTTCTGTTTGTGATAACTTTGGCAACTGTGTCCATTTTGGCATAATTCCAATATTGTATCAATTTATCAGACGTACGCAATCACTTTTCTAATTGCAAACATTCGATAAACTACGACTGCTATTCATGCGTCTCCCGGGAAGTGATTGCAATCTTCATAGTTTTTGTGGGAGCAGATATTCCATTTAAGTAGAAGGAAGCACCAAAGGGTTTAATTCTTGGAGGAAGCGTACTTCTTGGATTCTTGAGGAAAGAGTTTCCAATGCTCCCTTCCTGTGTCAAGGAGACCTCATGTTGAGAAACTTGCATTTCGGCTTCATTTGACAATTGGTTCATCCAGTCCGTGATAACTGTCAAAGGAGTGAGATCTGAACTGGAGAACTTGTAGCTAGGCCCCTATTGATACACACCACTTTCATGACCTTCATCATGGGCGTAGGGAGAGGGGATTTCAATTAAGTGCACGTTGTGAAGAGAACTGAATTAGCACCTAGGACATGGAATGAAGGTTAGGCCACGCGAGTTAGATAGGGTATAAAAATTGTTGGAACACTAATAGTAGTGGAGAAGAGTATTATGGGGTGCATAGTGCCCTTCATAATTATGGGAGTATTATTCTGGTTTAAATTCGTGGGTAATTGAGAAGACTAACAAATTATCTTCATAAGATGGTGAAATCGCATCCTTATCGCAATAATGCATTAGCGTTGCTGGTTCTGGCAACATGTCTGCTTATTAGTATTTGTGTGTTATCAACAAAAATATGCATTTGTAGTTGCTTTACGATTAGCTAAAATTAAGAGATATTAAATCATACCTTCTCTGCTTTTATTAATTAATTGATTGAGAAAGCATTGAAGTCTCAGTTACTTGGTCAACTTCAGCAGCTTTAAAAACAGCATTTTTACTTTTTTGCAAACAAACTGATCGATCGAAATCGTCTTCTTCACAGCACGATAATCAATAGCACATCTGCTTTAAACCATCTTTCCATCGATTTTTACTGACTCTCCTACAGCACGTTGAAAATCACACCGTTGTCAAGTCTCAACTATGACCACGAAACTCCTCGAAAACTATGCTGAGTGTCAAATTTTTTCCAAAGTCTATTTCAACTCCTCCATCTTTCGGATTTGGAAAGGTTATTATTTCCTGTGTATCAAAGGTGACGGATAATAGTCGGATATTTGATGGCATGAATCTAGACTCTTGAAAAAATGCGTATGGTTAACATTTATGGCATTCGCTGAATAGCCAATCTGTCACCAATGTGAACAAACATTTTGCCATTCCCATTTGAATAATGTATAATGCCTTGTTCATGATTTATATTTTGAAGAAGGGAGTTGTAAGAAGGTCTTGAAAGAGCCATTTTTCTACTGTATTAGTGGACAATGGCTGAATCGATGTCTCAATTGAAGTAACTTCACTGCAGAAGGATAATTGATTTCATTTGCCAATAAGTAAAACGGATACACCAGGAAGAATCGAGTTAATGACTTGTTAAGAAATGAGGTCTTACACCAATGGATTTTGCCAATTTTCAACTCGGGCTCGAACTGTCGGTCCATGCCGAGACATGTTAGCCAACGTCATAGGCGAAGGAAAAAAAAGGCACGAAAATGTGTGGACATTTAAAGACTCGAGGATTCAGTCACAACCTTTCTATGAATCGAATGGGTATCTCCAATTTTACACAAAATTGATCAATCAACGTCTACACAAGCGATTTGATGTGGACCCGTGAGGTATAACGAGGTGACTAATTGGCCTGTACCTGCTACTGTAATCCACCAAGAATACTGTCACTGAGCACTTGGAGACTGACTGCGCAGTGGTTACTTCCTTCCACCTTGACATGGGATTCACATTGACCCATTCTAACCCCTCGGGTTGGTCTCTGTTCTGACAAGTGGCTGAGCTGATAGTTTCGTCAACTTCCAACTCTCCAGTTGTAGCCTACTTTGGTGATTACCGATGCCTTTGTCAAAAATCTGTTCTAACACAGTGATCTATTCAAATTGCCAATGACTTAATGAATGGATGCACCTCTAACGTTGTTCACCCAATGCATAATTTATCCACTTACAATATAGAATGTAATTGTCTCACAGCCGTTTCCAATACACCTCTTCTGAATATTTCCTATAATCCCATAATTCATCTCCCTTTTGATTTTTTTAACCTGCATTGCAATATCAGTCAATTAAGTCACCAGACAATGCGTTGCTTTTACTGTTTGTTTAACTGCGTTTTGCGTAAGCGTTGGGAGATATACATGATATCAATTGTCCAATTACACGATTGTTTCATATTGGTGAGCAGAGCACCACGACACCCGACTTACTCTAAACAATTTTTCTTCTACCTTTTCTCCAACAAACACATTTTACTGTCTGTGCTTATTTTGAGCAAATATTTGCATACTCAAATGTATTTCTATCAGTAGAGAAAGTCGCGTCCAATCATAAGTTCAGAAGTCGTTTAACCCCCCTCAACCCCCTCCCCCCCCCCTCGCCCTCGCCCACGACACACAAAACACAGTGGACATATAATTGAAACGCTAAATATACCATTAGAAAGTTTACAGTCATGTCGTGAAATTAATGAAGATAATTGAACAAACCATGATTTAAGGTTTAAATTAGCAATCTCGATTTTATACTATCACGTTTTCGCATAGGAATTCATAGTCATCTCCATCTGGCGGTGGCGCTGGAGGTGGAGCAGCTGATGGCAGTGGTCGTTTCAAGGTCATATCCAAGTGACCATCATCCTCAGCATCCTCATCATATTCATTACTAACTGCACATATGGCCTCACCGGATTTCAGTGCACCATCATAGGTAGAATTAATAGGTTCATAGTTATCCTCTTCCTCTGCAATTTCCGGGACTTCTTTTGTAGAAGAACACTTCAACTGCTCAAAAATTGAATCGTATTCATACTCGTCGTTGTCATCATTCAGCTTCGAAGATGGTTGTTTGAGATTGACCAAGCTGTCGTCGCCCCTCTTCGTCCAAGTATCAGTTCGTGAAGATGGTGAAAGTATTTCACCTGGAGACAATTGATATAGATTGTTCGCCTCTGAAAGCCTACTTTCATTCACTTTCACCAGTTCCACTTCATTTTGCTTCTTGACAACCTGTCTGAACGAGCATGCAAACGCATGTAGGCAAAAACAAGGATAAGTGAATATGTCGGCAGTGTTTCGAATACTGGCAATTCAAGGTCATACCTTATTTTGGGTAGAGCGAAAATTCGAAGGCAGCAAACAACCCCCACAATGCAACCGATCGTCAGAAACAGAAGGAGCACTGAGGTAACCACCACTACAGCTGAAGCCTAAGGGTGAAGTCAAATTCGAATTTAACTGATAAATTGATAATCAAAGAGTGACTGCATTTGGTAGTTGTGGAACGAAAATTCCTATTTTCAAGTTGAAGCTTAAATTGAGAGTAATATAGCCATATCTCTTGATTTCAGAAGTACAAACTCCTACACATCGACTTTCCACATTAATCTACATGCCTGGATGTTCTTCATAAATTATGATCTCTGTTGGTGGTGAAATGATTTCCAATTCTGTTGAAATTACCGTATTACTGCCTCTCAAACAGACAAACTCAACATTCACATTCGTCTTCACAGTTGAAGTTACTTGTCATTTAAAATCCGAACTACTCAAGACACACAATCGGCAAATAATGGAAATGCAATTACCTTGAAAGAGGAAACCTCACATGTGGGGCCTTGCCAACCCTGAGCACAGAGGCAGGAAAATGTTGTTTCATTGGAAGTGTCGGCAACACAGTGACCACCATTTGCACAGGGTGAATGACCAAGTCTGTATGCTTCCAAATCACAAGCATCCTCTTTTCTCTTGGACGGTAACTAGAACAATAGGGTTCGCACTTTGAAATCAACTCTCTTTGAAAAACACAATTGACTGAGTTAACATATGTCTAGAACTTGGTATTGTTGATCATGGCAATCAAATTTGTTGAAATTAGAACCTTCAATTGATTTTAATTAAAGAGTTTACAGTCTTTCACTTTGAATTATTAAGCATTAGACCATTGTATGCTACTAAGAGTAAATCGGTAGAATGTTCATACATTTAAGGGTATCTCACAATGCACACCATGCCAACCGGGAGCGCAAAGGCAAGTAAATTGTGTCTCGTTAAATGGGCTGACAACACAGTGGCCCCCATTCGTACAAGGCGGATGTCCCAGTTGAGATTCTTCATATTCGCAAGCATTCAACTTTTCCTCACAGTGAAGTCCACCTCTTCTCCCACGACAATTCACACATTTCGCGAAATTCATGTGTTCGCCAATGGGCACGCACGTTCCCCCATGCAAACAGACATGCTCTGCACAAGGATCGAAGCCTTCTTCACACCTTTTACCTTATTGGAGGAGAGGCAATAGATATCTTGAGTATCTGAATCAGAATTCAACTTATTCATTCAATGCAGTGCATGCGATTTACCTG